CCAGTGACACTCCCTCCGGTGACTATCCCTCCTATTGTCAAACCACCAGTGACACTCCCTCCGGTGACTATCCCTCCTATTGTCAAACCACCAGTTACACTTCCTCCGGTGACTATCCCTCCAGTCATAGCTCCTCCTATTACTAAGCCACCAATTTCAAAACCCTGCCCTCCACCATCTCCAGCCACTGCCACCTGCCCTATTGATACCCTGAAATTGGGTGCTTGTGTGGACCTTCTTGGGGGTTTGGTGCACATTGGGCATGGCGACCCCGTTGTCAACGAATGCTGCCCCATTCTTCAAGGGCTTGTTGAGCTTGAAGCTGCCGTGTGCTTGTGCACTACTCTTAAGCTCAAGCTTCTTAACCTTAACATTTATGTGCCACTTGCTTTGCAGCTTCTTGTTACCTGTGGAAAGACACCACCTCCTGGCTACACTTGCTCTCTCTAGATCCAAGTATATGCGTGCAAAACTCGGCCTATAACGTTCATAGGTGATGCTAGCTTTTTGCCCCCAAGAAAATGAAGACATTTTTACTTAATTATTTTTCTTATTGATTTTTTTTTGAATATATATTACGGTGAATTTTCTTATTGAATATTATTATGTTAATTCTTGATGCAGAAATGTTATCTTTTCCTTGCGTTTGTAGTTGTTGTACATGATTGTTTATGGGTTTAAATATCCCTTATACTTATTTTTAATAAAATTTATTTTGCCTTAAAAAAAAAAATGCAAAAATGTGGTCCACAATTTTTCTTTCATAATCTACTTATTAAGTAATGAGGCTATTAAATAGATTCATTCATTGAAAAAATTACCAGCCATTCGATATTAGACCAGATTATAGAAAAGTTGTCAAAAATTACTGAGCATCCAGATTGATTAGCCATATTATTTTGTTCTTTTATTTTCATTCTCAAGCACAATATTCTTGGAACTATTGCCTTATTGGATGTCATCACATAAATTGCAGGTTGTTAGATTCATTGATGCACCGACGGAATTGGCATGAGAGGATGTCGATATCGCTCATTTTATTAGATTGGAATTGCTGATGTCTTCCTATGTATTGTACACCATTTATTTTGTTTTTGAGACTGTTGCATTTGTCCTTTGTGTTTGAGAACTAAGATTATTAATCAAAATGATTTTCCATTTAGCTCATCTTATTTCACGAATTTTTAATTAATTTTACTGAGCAACATTTTAAGCAATTGAGTGTGGACTATAAAACAAATGTCATTTCTTTCCTTTCCTAAATCACCTTTAACCTCCAATATTCAAATTCAATATTTTAATATAACATTTTATCTATCTAATCATTCAAATATCTCCAATATGAACTTTACCATTTTTTTATTAATGTGCTTCCTATAGTAATAGTTAAAAACTTAAATCTTCATATTAAAAATCTCAAATTTAAGTTTTAAAATAAGTAGAGAGACATTTAAGAAAAAAAAATTATTTTTTATTATATAATTTATCATTTAAAATATTAAAAAAAATGGTAACTCACACTTAAAAGACTAAATAATCTAGAAATTAGATCTCCTTGGGGTGCCATATATATGTATGATATATGTAAACAGTAAATTGTTTTTTAATATATAAAGATTAGGGATTGAATTATAAATTTGTAATTAATACTGCAAATAATTATATTATTATACTACATAGTTGATAGTTAGGGTAAACAGTAACATTCGGCTTTAGTTTGGGTAATTTGAAACGGATGTTCTTAATTCAATCTGGAAAGTAGATGTCCTGAGAATCATATCTTGTATGGTTAAAGGTTTCAAGCCTGAGGGATCTTGGTACTTTCGATGAACTTCGGAGAATTTCAGAACAAATTCAGTGTTTTAATTAATCAAATATTATTGCGAATAATAATGTACAAAAAATGGCACCTAATTGAAAATTGCCACCTGCATACTAAATGAATTGAAAAGAAAGAATCAACTATCAAAATCATTTAATAATAATATTTTTATAATAAAAATAAAAAATTTTAAATTCAAATTATATGATATACAAATAAAAAGATTTATAAATGAAAAAGTATTCTCTCTTATTTTGTAATTTAAAAATAAATAAATAAATAAAAATAAAAAAAGTGAAAGGCTAGGATATGATGTCTCAGACTCTCAGGTCATCGCTTAGCAGAACTTGAGGCCTACGATCAGGTGCATTATACCTCAACATTTTATATATATATATATATATATATCTATATATTTACTAACCCTATGATATTTAGAAACCATACCTTAGAAAGGGAAAAATTTTCTTAACGCATATTTTTCTATTAACATAACTTAAATTCAAAATTTTATTAAAGAGGAATTAAGTTTTTTTTATTTAAATCAACAAATCGTTAATGATATTTATATAAAAATTAAGATATATTTAAGACTTCTTGTTTAGCACTTCCTCTAGTCTTTTTTTAATTTTCCTAATTCCTCAATTTTATATAAATTAATTTAATAATTTTATATAATAAATAAATTAAATTTTGAATTTTTTTATCTAAGTGAAAATTTTCCAACAAGAATTATGTATTAAAAAAATTTTAATTATTATCTATTCATTATATAAAATTATTTTATCAAAATTTATATAAAAGTTAAACTTATAACAACCAAACCAGACCGAGAGAGTGTATTACTTAGGTATCTATATAACGACTTCATATGTAATAGATTTAATATTACTCAATAATATTTCAATGTGCATTTTCTTTCAGTTTTCTCTCCTAACTTTTCCATACCTAAATTTTTCTACATGATAGTCAAAGATAAAAGGAGAAATCTCTCCACTCGTGAAACCCACAACCTCACATGTGAATCAGTGGGCTTGGCTAATAACTAATAATATTCATAAAGCAAAAGGCCCCATCTAATATGGTCCAACTCCGGTACTTGACAAAAGTGCCAATTACGCACATCTTTTATAATTATATTCGGAAGTTATTTTCAGGGGTAGCAATCAACACATGGCATTGCTTTGTTTAATTGGCGATCCACCCTCATCCATGTTTCATCGATATGACATGTAGATCATCCACAATGTAATTAAAACAGAGATTGAAACTCTTCCCCAAAAACAGAGATTGAAACGACAAGAATACAAAGCTTTTTAGAGGAAAATGGCCAAAGGAAAGGACTAACCTGGCTACAGTAAAACAGACGTGTGGACCACTTATAAGCTATGGCACATGAACCATGTCTACATATATATATATATATATATGTTCTTTCTTTTGGAAGATGAGTGGTGTTAGGACTGAACTGCACGTAAGATTGAAAACTGGCACCAGTCACTTAAACAAAAACTAACAAATTTCAAGCTTCCTTTAATCCAAGCGTAAGATGAGTGGTGTTAGTTATTTTTGTTTAGCTAGCCTTCCTATATTTCATGCTACAACTGCGCTACATATTTGCATTTATGGTGAAAATGAAGGTATCGTACTTTGTAACACTATTTTGAATGAAAAATATGTGGTCCTTTATGAACTTTTCTGCCAAAGCATGAAATTAACCAAAATCATTTTAAGGGATTGGAAGAACATCGGTTGAATTTCTACCTAAAAGTTGAATGGAGGAGCTATCTTAATCATTTCCAGTATATAATCGCGGTAAGAGCGCAACTGTTCTCTACAATATCAACTTCAATATCCATAAGAAAAATGTTAATATGACATACAAGAAACCTATTGATATGAATTCTTGGAATTAAAACTGAAATGAATAAAATCCTTTCTGTTTCCAATCTCAAGTTAAAGCATATTATCTCTCCATTCTTCGCATCCATTCCAAGTGGATTGGATGGCCACTAGAACACAACAACCCTGAATCAGATTACATCTCAAATTCAAAAGGTGGGCATCAGCTCTACCAAAACACTCAGCCTCACCAACCGTTGATAAAATGAACCCTAACTGTGAAATTAAAAGGCAAAATTTAAATGACAGAAAACTTATTATCTGAATTGAACTATATATATGATACAAATCCTCTAAAAGGATTTTAATCTACCCACTAACTAGCACTAATTGTTGGGCCAATGGAATGAACTAAAGAACCACCCCTACAACCATCAGGATGATTTATTCAATTGTAAACTGCTCAAGAGGAACCTAACATGACTACATTGTTTTAATTTGGCTAGTGCTTCTTGTGACTTACCATGCATGAGATCGACATAAATTGCAGTCATAGTAGCTTCAGGACTGTTAGGTACCAGAGATAATGCTTGCATCACAAAATGATGCGCCCGCTCAAGTTCACCTTGTATTGCTGACATTGCAGCAAGATTTGCATAAAGAGTTCCACATGCTTCTTCTGGCTTCAGAAACATGAAATCATGCTGGTTCTCGGGAGGATTCTTCGCAGCCACTGATCCACCATTAACTTCTTCACAGTCATCAGTATTTTCCACACGCCATTGCTCAAAATCCTCTTGGCCAAATGGCAACTCAACATTATTGTCTGCAGATAAATAAATTAACAAATGCTCCGCAGCTTCCTTTGGCTTATTCAGCAAGCAAAGGGCCTCTGCTGCATACACATGTCCCAGAAAAACATAAATTCTTGAACAATCAGGTAGTTCTAAGAGAGATATTGCAACAGTAAGAGCTTTCAAAGGATTTTCCAGTTCTAACTCTACATATGCCAGGTCGGCAAGAAGAGCTTGCTTAATCATCTGATTCTCTCTCCCGCAGATCTCTTCATAATAGGAGATTGAGTTCTGTATAGTCTCCTGAATCAATCCTCCCTTTTGCACCTTTGCATCACCATTTGAATTAACTTGACCTAGACCAACGAATAAAGTTGAAGCATTTAAATCAATGGTAGGTAAGTTCCTCTGGTTTGAATTCTTTGAAGAAACCACTTCACTTGATTCATTTTCCTCCAAGGAAGCAGGCAAACCAGACTTCAAATTATTCAATTCAGAACAGTTCAATAAGTGCAATGCATTACAGAGACACTGCCTTGCGAGAGGCAGAGAGAGCTTAGGCTGCCCATCACTGCCAAAATTCAAATCATCCTTTCCAACAAGCCCACTTGAAACTCCATCTTCAATTATAAGCTGCCTCCATTTACCCTTGCCAATAATATTAACTCTAACTTCTGATCGATCTGATGGAGCTCCACTTGCCTTGATAAGTCCTTTCTCTAAAGCCATTAGGCAGCATTCAGCTAGTCGGAGCCACAAGAGAGGTCTTTTGTAGAAAACTGAAACTGCCTTCTGGAAACAACGAGCAGCAAGGATTGGCTTCCCACAGGCCAAATACTGCAACCCACAGTTATATGTCATGAGGAGGGATTTATCCTGGGAGAATGTTAGAAGCTTTAGAGGTTTGTCCTTCTGAAGAGATGAACAATTACCCAATGCCTTTGAGAAAAACACTGCTGACGCATGGTATTTTCCAAGCTGATAGTAAATACAGCCAAGATTGTTATTAAACATGCTTGAAATCCCAGCCTCTGTCCGGTTACCTGATGCCATCAACAACTTGATGGCTTTACGGTGGTTTCCGCGAGCATACTCAAGCTGGGCCTTCAAGAGAAGAGCCATAGATGAATCTCTCCCACGGCCAACATTCATAGCAAGCTTGACTTCGCGCTTTGCTAGCTTTAGATTTCTAGTGAGAAGTAGAAATCGAACCTTGTAAAGTTGCAACTTAAGCTTCAAATCAACACCAAAGATGGATCTATCAACCAAAGTCCTTGGAGCATCTTTTGCAGATGAATGACTAGCTGACCTTGATAGGTTTTGTCCACTGATGTCCAGAGTTGAAAACATTTCATCAAGCGGGTCCTCTGATAAAGTTCTTGACAAAGGATTCTCAGAGGCATTAGCAGCTAAATCAGAATTGGAAACATCCATTGCTAATGAGCTGCTTGGAACAGAGGCTGATTTTGCAAAGAGATTTGTAGATTGTTGTGTTGCCATGCTAGCATTATCTCCTTGACACACACTACCAACACCAAATGCTTTTTCTAGATAACTCAATACATCCTGGAGATTATGGACAGCATTTTAATACTCAAATTCATAAGATGAAAAGAAACATAAATTAAAGAGAACAAGCATACATCAAACCCAAGCAGTTGAACATTAGAAAAAATACTGGATATCAATGGCAAAGTGGCAAGATGCCAATAATCATCTTGTCAACACCTTAAAAGAAAACCTTCAATTATAAACCTATAAAAAAATTGATCATGAGCAACTTTGACATGGCCAAATAAAAGGAGGGGAAAATTTGTAAACTAAATGAAAGCATTAGGAAACTAATTTAGGGTCCATTTTAGCACCATTGTTGAAAATATGAGAACCAAAAACTGAAATGGAAAACTTGTCTAGTACAAGTCTTTAAAACTAACAACCAAAACTAAAAACCAAAAATTTTGGTTCTAAAATCACACTAGCAAACCCTTTTTTTTTTTTTTTTTTTTTGTGATAACCAGCTGCAGCAACGAATGAAAACCAAAAATTTTGGTTTCAAGAATTGCAAAAAAACCTGTTTCAAGTGTTCATATAAAGAGACCCTACAAAGCAACTATCCAAAGAGGAATCTGATTAAAAGTATCTAATACAAATGTTAAGTTTCAATCAAGGGAAAAATATAGAAGTCGGCAATTTACAAATTTGAAACCAATAGGCATAATCTCTCTTCTCATATTATAAGAAAAAATTAAAAATAAATAAAAATAAAAAGGCATGATCAAACCTCACATTACAAGGTCTCTTTTTCGGACAACTAGCAAACTATCACAACTAAAACCCTACAGAGTATAAATAATTCCAGAATTCCAGATCACATAAACAACTCTAAAGTCTTTAAGTGATCATAGCAACATTACTTGCAAACAGACTGTCTGGTCAACAGCCATGTCATGTAAGGTAGAGGGACAAAAGATATTAAAAGAAAAAGGAAACATATAAGAAAAAGAACTCTCACAAGTGAGGCAAAGAAAACAAAGATTAATTTATTCTCTCTTTTATGTTAACAACATAAACATTTCTTCCCCAGTACAAGTCCAAACTGGCAGAGAATTTTGCATGCATTTCACCGATTTTATTTCTTAAAAGTTTGTGGTTCATGCTACATACAAGCAAAACAATACAGACCCCATGCATAAATATAATATATGAAAGATGTTATCCAGTGAATTGCACCTATCACAAACAACGCACTAAGCAATTTTAAATACTAATAACTTGTTTTTTTGATTGGAAAAGCAAGTTCTTAGATATTACAAAAATTTGAACCCCTAACCTTAAATCTAGGCTTTGAAGCGAGTGGGTTTCTAACCTAAAGCCCACTTCCTCAGCAAAAAAATGTTGAAATGGAATATATGAGACTAGGTTCACAGCTTGTAAGTTTTAGACTTTCAACAGACTGATTTCTTTTAGTGCCGCAGTTAATAGTGAATATCATTCAGAAACGCCACGTATGATGCGGTAAAAAGTATCTTGCAATGCTAGCAAGCACAGAAGAAACTGTGGATTATTTAAAGGAAAAACCCAGTGCTAAGCCCTCGAACCTACCATATATTAATGTAATAATGTGTAAGCCCTCAAACCCCAAAATCAATCCAAATCACCCCACAATTTGAATGTTACCACTATGATTATGTGATGTTAAGACCTTAAATTAGTACATTTAAAATAAAAATAATCCCTAAAGGTTTAGGAAAATACTTAAAATAGCTCAACTTCTACACTTCTACTTTTCTTTCATTATTAATTCAATTTTGACAATAAAGATTCAATTAAATCATGTAAACAGATTAGAAAAAACAGATTAGAAAATCATAAATCTAGAAAGCCCAGCCATCAATTTCAGTTAAAATCAACTAAAAAGGCATTAAGTTAAGATTAAAAACATCTAAAACTCCCCCAAGGATTTTGACTTTATTTATAAGTGTTTGGCTTTCAGGCAATGCTAAATGAAATTCCTCTATATTTTAAAATCACAATTGTAATTTAAGAATTTGGGAACCCAAACCAATAAACTTGTTTATCCTCAAGCCCCCAACCATAAACCTTTGACTTTTTGGCTTCTTTATGCATATTCTTTTGAAAGTATAATTTTGTAATAGTTAAAATATTTAGGGATTGGTTCTATTTTAAATTTGATGAATTAAAGGACCAAGTTGAGATTATCCCATAATATTTTAGTTTTTAGCAACAGTGGCCACTTTTTTTAACATCATGCAGCCAAGGTTAACAACAGCTAGCAGTGACTGTTACCATGAGGGCAAATTTGCATCAATATGGGGGTTGCTTAAACACTTGTTTTTAGTTTGTGGGCTTATGCATTAACATGGGATAAGTTAGAGGGCTTAACACTAGGCTGTCTTATTTAAAGCTGCAAGACAAGATTACCATAGAAATAAACATGTCATGCAAATCCTTCAGTTTAAAGGCAAGATGCTGGGAGGTGGCACATGTTAATATGCTCCTGTTTATAAACATTAATATAACCAATGCAGTATGATGCTAGAGGATAATAAGGCACATAATCATAGTGGGAACATTCAAAATTTCTAAATGAATATGCAAGTAATCCTGCTGTAAATGTTAAGAACTTACAGCAGATTTTGACGCATCGTTGCAAGCTAGCAAAATATCCAGCAACAACAGACATGCATGAAGAGCCGTTGCCTGCAGATCATAATAAAGGTAAGCAGTTAACTCAATGCAACAAAATTAAAAGAAAAGAACGGCAGTCCAGACATAGTATACCTCATCAATTGGTTCAATATTTTGATAAAGAGGTTCTAAAACTGATAATGCCTTAGCATATTCATGAAGATGGAACCAGATAACTGCCTGCATGAGATCAACATTAGGACAAAATTGTTAATGAGAGCAAGCAATGGAAAATTTTGCTGCTGAACAATTGACATAATCATGCTAATAGAATAGCCAGTAAGAGAACATACTATGTTTAGAGTTGCAACAGAAGTATCAAATTCATCCATGTAAATAGTACTTCCACTGTTTGTAGAAATTTGATGCGACAAGCCAACACTTCCCTTTGAACCTGGAATACCCTTATTTCCAACATTGCCAAAACATTCCACCTGCTCCCCAGATGCATGAGCAAGTTCCTCACTTCTCTTCTGAACCAACAACAACAAGAACCAAGATGCCATTATGAATCTACAAATGTCCCAAAAAAGATGCTTCAAGTTAAAGGAAGCTTAGCATGCACTTCAATCATTAAGATATCAATCAGAGAGTTGCATAAAAACTAGCATCTTTGAGTCAAATTGGTAAATTCACTTTGCCTTTTTTCCTTGTCTGTATCTTACAAGATGATATTTAAGTTTTTTGTGGTTTTCCAGGTTATCAACATGTCCATATCACCGCAGCAGTAGCAGCTCCCATCCACCACCACAAGCCTCATAATTTACAATTTTATAACTTTTTTCTTAGTTGACAGAAACCTAAACCCATCCAATTATTTATGTTCACCTTAACAGGGAATAAGTAATCATACCCCAAAATTGCTACTTTTCCAACTAAAGAGTGAAACCCCTACCAGTATAAATTTAAATTGGCTCCTGGTCACTTTTCACTAACAATTACACCTCCTGTAATAGGTCTTTCATACAAGTCTCATAACTGTCCAACGAAATATGCAAAAGGATAGTGAATATTTCACCAGAAGAACTTGATCAGATTTCCAGTCTGCCTTAAAAGGGTTAATTATTTCTCAATCATCAGGGTCATCCATCCATCTTCAATAGAACAGTTCAACTTGAAAAAATTCTCTTGCTATTAAAATTGGTTGCCAGTTTATCCATATTTAATCAAGGCATACCCATACAATGGCTTACCATTTTTGAATTATTTAACTGCCCATTCACAAAATACTCTTGCTTTGGAGCCAAGACAACCAAAGAGAAAGCACAAAATTAGGTACATCCATTCAGATAGGAAAATCAGAATGACTAAGAAAACAACCATTTTCACTAGATCAGAACAGGTTCATACAAGCATACTAACAAAGCAGGTTTCTTTTCTACAGAAGATACCAGGAATCCTTTTCATGTATGGAAGGCAGGAAATGAGGAAACAAAAAATGACCATGCTGGTATCTCATTATTTCTGATGAACATAACATAACGAAACATCAATCCTCCCCTTCCCAATATAAGAGGATTAACAGTTTAGCC